TGTTTCGTCGGAGTTTCACCGACTCATCACGAAGCCGAACCCTCAACAGTCTGCAGAATCCCCTCACTGATTACACTGTAAATGATAATCTACCTTAACCAAAATCAAAGTAGACTATCACTCACCCACACCAGATGAAAAACTCTACAGACTGTCGGTTCACACCCCATCACAAGCCAGCAAAACATCCACGAAAGAAAGAAAGGTCTGTCATATATATATATATATATATATATATATATATATATATATATATACGGTTTACCGGGCAGTTCTATTTGTGACGATATATATATATATATTATATATATATAAATCACGAACAGTTTTTTTTGCAATTTGTAATTTTTTTTTTTGCTGGAAGAAAGGGAAAAAATAATGGAACTGGGTTATTTTTTGACAATCGTGTTCATGACGCGGGCTCATTGAAATACATATACATATATATATGTATATATATATATATATATATATAATTGAACTGGGTTCAGTTCATCGAGGGTTCAGCCTCCTTATGAGTCCGTCAAACCCATACGAAACAGTTTGTTACAGCCCGTGTTTTTTTTTCCTCCTCTCTCTCTCTGCAAACCATTTACCGGCCACTTAAGAGGTTGAATATATATGTATATATATATATATATATATATAGAGAGAGAGAGAGAGAGTTGCCTGGACGAACATACGGAGGCCCCTTAGTTGACCCCCGGACGTTCGGGCATTCGGGTCCCCGTACGGGGCCCGAACTCGAAGGGCTTCGGACCTCGAAAAAAATTATATTGGTACCTGAATATTATTATTTTTTTCTAAATTTGTTTTTTTTTGTGAGTTCTTTGGTATGTAAGCTACCTGTCTCTCAATTTTGAATTCATTCTGTGAAGCCAAACAATAATGAAAAATCGGCAAAGATGGTGGTGTCAAAACTTGCTTTCCCACTTACTAATTTGTTTTTTTTTTCTTTTTAGTTTTTGTTTTTCCTTTATTTCGGGGCCTGAAAATAATTATTATTTTTCCTAAATTTATTTGTAGGTTCTCTATTATTTAAGATACATATGTATAAAATTTTATGGCATTTGATAAAGCCAACAAAAAAAAAAAAAATCGCCAAAGATGACGGTGTCAAAAACTTGCTCGCCCACGCAATAATTTCATTCTCCTTTTATTTTTTCTTATTTTCATTTTTTATTTTTCATATTTCATTTTTAGTTCAAATTTGGTAAGGAATTCGGATGCACTGTGTAGGCGAATGTTTGGCTCGTAAGTAATATATATTTTTAGTTTATTCTTCTTCATGACATTTGTTTTTTTTTTGAGAATTTTTTAAAA